TTTTATTTTATCTTACTTTATTTTATTTTATTTTATTTTATTTTATTTTATTTTATTTTATTTTATTTTATTTTATTTTTTGTGTAAAGGATTTTAATATACTATGACCAAGTGGAATTTTTCTGAGAAATGCAAGATGGATTTATCATATAAAAATCAATCAATGCAATTAGTTGTAACAGATGAAAGAACTATCATTTCAGTAGATGTATTAAAAATGACTCTGACAAAAATTAAATATCTGTTCAAATTAAAAACAAGATTTAGAGAAAACTAGGAAAAGCAGGGAATTTCCTTCCTATAAAAAATACTTAATAATGAAGTATTGGAAGTTCTCTCCCTGAGACTGGGAACAAAACAAAGACATCCATTTGCACAACTTCTATTCAACATTTACTGGAGGTCCTAGCCAGTCCAGTAAAGCAGGAAAAAGAAATAAAGTGCATAATGTTGGAAAGAAAGAAATAAAACTGTCTTTATTTGCAGATGACATGATTGTCTATTTAGGAAATCCTAAGGAATCTACCAAAGAAGCAAGGCACAAAACGGTATCTACTGTGCACAGAGGTACAAGACTCTTTCTGCCAGTTTCCAGTTAGTTTTCAGTGAGGATTGTTCCACATGTAGATATGTTTTTGATGCGTCTGTTGGGGGAGTTGAGCTCCATGTCCTCCTACTCTGCCATCTTGATCGACTTCCATATTCTGTGTCTTGATAAGGGTGTAGGTTACATGCATGTATGCATTTGTCAAAACTGATCAAACTGTGCACCTCAGATCTCTGCTTTCCAGAATATATAAATTATATCTAAATTTGTAAATGTGCTTTGTGGCAGTTTTAAGGACCCTGATACCACTATAAATTTTTTTTTCCAACCAGTTATGAATCTAAGAAACAGGTTTGAACAAAATAACAGTACAAAAGCTGGTCATTTCTTGAGGATTCCATTTTTCTCATGCCAATATGCTTTTCATTTAGTATTTAGACTATAATGAAACCCATTCATAACCAGCTCAGTGGGAGCATATGTGTGGTCTGTACACACCAGCCCTAGTTTGTTCATTTTTCACTCTTTTCTATATGTTTCTGTGAAATTATTCTGCTAGAATTACCAAAACTCATACTTGTTTGAGAAGTCAAAGTAAGAGAAAACCAAAAAAAAAAAAATTTATATTTTAGTTCATTAAATTATGACATGCTTCATATAGAAGGACTAACATTAATTTTGTCTTGCATTCCTGTTGCCTCTCCATTGGTGGGTGCTTAGCAGGCACTGATTTCTTGAATACGTGACTATGAATATTGTAAAACATTTTATCTGAATTTCATTGCTGATGAGGAAGTGCATTGTCTCTCTAGAGAGGTTATTTTCTTTAAGACACTGTTAAGGACAGGAAAGGAAATCTTGAAAATATATTTTCAAGTCTGAATCCCCAGTGCCTGGAACAGTGTCTGACATACACTAGATGTTTTAAAAAAATATTTATTGAATGAACGAAAACTGTGGTGTTGCACAGAGGTTTAGTAGTCTAAGTTATTGTCTTTTGGCTGATTCCTGCCATGAATTCAAGGCTGCCTTTGGAGGAGGTTATTATTCCTGTAAGATACACTAAATCAAACAGAACAAGCCATTAATTCTCTTTTCAGCTAGACGAATTTTAAAAATCTTGTATCTTCAATATTTTAAAATTCACTTTTACTGAGAAACAGTTTGCACATAGTGAAGTCTACCCCGGGTAAATGTGTAATCAGTGCACTTTGACAAATGTGTATGGTCATGTCAGTGCCACCACAGTGAGATATAGAACATTTTCCTTTTCCCCAGAAAGTTCCCTGCTGCTGCTTTGTGGTCATTCCCCTCCTCCACCCCCAGCTTCTGGCAGCCACTGAGCTGGTTTCTGTCCTTGAAGCTTCACCTGTTCAGAATGTCATCTAAATGGAATCACACGGTATATGTACGTTTTGTGTCTGGCTTCTTTCACTTTGCAAACTGCCTTTGAGATTCATCCAAGTTGTTGTACTTGGATCAATGATAGTAGTTTTTTCCTTTTTATTTCTGAGTAGTATTTATATCTACATCTTAAAAATTTCAAAAATAAGTCTGTTGGGCCATCGCTAGGCAGACATAAGGAATAATGATCTAACAACTTTGCACGATCTTACCACACTTTGCCGCGAGGAGGAGGTAATTGGTTCTGCTGGTATGTCCCACATGTGACCTTGGATGCTCTTGTGTCAGAACGTTTAGCTTTCAGTTGGACTACAAGTTTGGGGGAGATTTCACGAATGGCGGTACTGGCCAGTACCCCAGTAGCAGCTATGTGTGAACTTGACCTCAAGATTTTCTTTTTTTTTTCTTCAGGAGCCTAATGGGTGGTGCTCTGAACTTTTATGGATTATCTGGACAAATACTAAATAAGTAAATAGCTCTTAAACCTTGACAGAGGTGGCTACTGCCCACTGTATAAGTAGCTGTGGTTTCTAGGCCCATGATTTGGAAAGATTGATGTCTTTTATGGTGATGCAGTGGGTAGACGATGAAGAGCACATTGTATGTAGTCTATAGATTTTATTCTAGCATGTTGTAATCTGCTTTTTTGTCTTGCTAAGTCTGAGAAAGTGGCATAACTCATGAGCTAGATGTACTTGGGAAAATGACATGGTAGACAATAGAAGTGTTTTAAGTTTAAATGATTACTTAATGAATTTCAATTTTACTTTATAGGAACAGTCAAATGCTTGATGAAGATGATGTATTGAATGAGACACCAAAATCTTCCTCAGTTGACTTGCCTGTTGAGACAACTGGTGACCCACAGCTGGAAAGAAGCACAGAAATAGCAGAGACCCAGCCCACTGCAAACAGCGTGGTGAGAAATTTAAGGTCTCATCCATTTAAAACATGCTCCTTAGGTAATCTGAGGAGAGAAAAGACAACCGCTATTAGACGTAGCATGACAGTCTTGCTAGCATTGATCTGCTTTTGCTGTTTTGAAGTTAAGCTCTAGAGAATATCACCTAGACCAACACTTCAGCTAATAGAGATATTGAATTTCTCTCTTGGAGAAATTTGACTAACTCAGTCCGTGGTTGCAGATGGATTTGTTTTTTAATGGCAGTTTCCTGCAAAGTAAATAACTTTACAGTTTCATTAAGGATGCGGGCTCTTTTTAGCAGTTAATATGTAGGTGTCTTTTTAGTCTCTCCCAGGTGAATGCAGAGGCATGAGTAAGCAACAGCCAAACCCTGCCCAGAGGAGAAGAATCCTTCCAGCCTGGATGTTAACAGAAGATCTAAGTGAGCAAAACCTTTCAGCGCCAGTCAGCGGTGGAGGTGGGTTTTGTTTCAAGAGAACATTAAGCAGAATTTGAAAGCTTTTCTGAACAAATGATGGAGATAGAATAGTGATTGTGTAAGTGTATAACTTAAGCTAACATTTTTTTTAGATGTATCCATGAAGTCTAACTTAAAACATAAGCTATTTTATGCCACCTATCAAACACCATTCTGCTAATTATTTTTTGCTTTAACAAGTGCTATTAATCTTATGTGCTGAACTTATTAATATACATTTTCAAACTAACTTGTTGGATCACGTCTAAGATAAAAGACAAGCTCAGTAAGTGTTTAAAATTTATTTAATTAAATATAAAAGTGCCAGGCACACAATATTAAGTGCCGAAGGAGTCAAAGAAGATGAGACCAGTGTCCTAGCATATAGCTTGCTGTCATGGCAGATACTGCAATGACTTGCGTCATCTGCTGGGTGTTCCCATTAAGCCAAGATTATTGAAAGGCTTACTAGTTGTTTTTTTCAGTCATCTTCGGTTTAGTATCTGTTGGCTGCTTGTTTTTCCTTTATCTGGGTCACGTTTTCCTGGTTATTCTATTGGATGGATGTTATGAATGACAGCATGTAGAGGCTTTGACTTTATGTTCCTCTGAATAAGTGTTTTTATTTCAACAGGCAGTTAAGTTGGCGTAATAGGAAATTTTCTTACTGGTTTCTTAATGGGCTTTTAATTCAGGCCCTGGACTCTCTTTCTCCTGTGTGTACAGCAGCTGCAGTCCCCGCCTGGTTCTTCCAGCTTCCAGCTGCTGCTCTTCCTCTGGGTTCCTGGGGTTTCCCACGTGCACATGAAGTTTAGCAACTAGCCAAGGATTTGGGTCAATTTTACATTAGATTTTGGTTCTTGCTCCTCTAAGCCTTTCTTCCTTCTGGGATTTTGTCTTTAACTTTCTATCTGCTCCATGAGCTTCAAACTCTGTCCCCTGACTAGTTAAGCCAATAAGGCTGCAGCTTTCTGTCACCTGTGAATTGAGGTTTGCCCTCAGGAGAAACACCACAAATTCACAAACCTCACAGGCCGTAGTTAATTTTTCAAGGTCAGACTCTTTATTTCTGCCTTTTTGGTTACTCTCCAGTGCCTTCAAATACTTGTTGTTTTTTTTAATATTTTGTCCAAAATTTATAATGGCTTTGTTTGGGATGATTCACTCAATCAAGCTACTCTGCCATTTTACTTTGGACATTATCTTTTATCAGTTAACAGCACAATTGAATAAATATTTCAGTTGAATGTTATGATTCTTATCACTTCTCATACTCAGCATAGTGATCCTAGAAGTCTTCTAAAGTTTTTGATCAAATATGTTGCGTACAGAATATTCCTTATTTAATGCTAGTTTTGATTATAGTAGGATCAGAGCGATCTTGTGGGAAAAACAGGTTATGTATTATGTGTTGAGGGAGATGCTATTTAATCTGGAGAATTTTCATATCTAAATCTAAGATTTCCTGGCAAAAGTTGTATTCCAGGACAGTGGTTTTCAATCTACTATCCACCATCATTACTTGTATAATATATTCTTACTGGTAACATTTCTCATTCACTATGGTGCTCCTCAATTTGCAGGAATGGATTGGAGAATGGGGGATGGTAGTGGAGAAGGGGCAAGTACTTTCCCTCAGCAGAACATTTTCTCTAATATAGAGACAGTAACTGTTTGAGCAAAAATTAGACCAGTGTGAACTGACTCCTTACAAGTTCTTTTCTTTCGGAGTTGTTTTGTACTGCAACTGCTTCTTGACTACCGCTGTTACATTATTTATAATAGTCCAAAATATGTTTGCTTCAAATTATAAATATAGCCTTTAACTTTCACTTGATAGATGTACCATATAAAATAAGAAGCACTTTTTTGTGCACTTCGCCTTGAAAATGCAAATGAGAATAATGTGACATTGATTTGAACAGGAACACTATATAGTTCACAATGTACTTAAAATATGAAATACTTCAAGAGAAAGTAAAAAAGCCTTTGCATTCAGGCATATAGTCTTATATTTTAGACTTTGGGGAAACACTTGTAAGAGCAAAGTTAGGTTACTTAACTCCTTTAAAGACAGGAAGACAGAAGTAAAGGACAGTTTAGTGCTTGAATCCAGCTAGTTAAAGGTTGGAATAATTTGACTTCTGCTGTGTAGTTTTTATTATTATTGTTATTGTTTTGTTTTTTAAGTAATATATCATCCAGGTCAATAGACCGATGCTAGTGATTTTTAAAAATCAATTTCCTGGATGCACTGTAGGCTCATTCAGATGTAGAATAGTTTCTTATGTCTTTTAGAGCGTTAGTACTATACTGTGTTCATGGATCTTTATTTCGATGATCTGAAACCATCTTGATATTTTGGAACCTTCTGTATCATTAAGCACAGGACATGTAATAATGTTAATTGATGTTAAATGACCTGTCTAAAATCGTAAATGCCAGAGCTATAATTGAGAACAGCTCTACTTGACTCTTTATATAAAGCTCATGCTCCGAACCATGTCACTATATGGCCACCTAAATGTATGTTCTGGGAGTTTGGTTTTGGTTCTGTTTCTTATTTTACTAATATGCCCTTGCATTCTCTCCTGGATCTTTTCTCATTGTAACTGTTGGCTTAATTCTTGTGTGTATGTGACTGTTGGCATGATCAGTCTATCCTTTCTGTTTTTCAGCCAGTATTGTTCTAGTTTATTCATTTTTCTGGGTCCGCAGATACTAGCCCTTGGATGTTATCATGAATTTCTCAGGCTTGGGCTAAAATTTTTTTCGTCTCTCTTAATGATCGATAAGTGAATATATTTGGGGAAAGGCTATTAGAACCTTCCCTCTCTTTGCTTCCATTTATCTGTGTTCTCTCAGCCTTCTGGGCCCCAGGACGAGTTACAACTCCTAGTGTATGGCGCTCTTGCTAGACTGAAAAAAGAGCTCTTACATTTTCATGGGTATCATGGTACCCTTTAGTACTCCTTTCCCCATCTTCTAACCCTCCAACATGAAGTCATGAAAAGTGACACATGCTGAGAAAGACTGAAGTAGTAAGTAGTCCCCAAACCATTTGGTTTGCATTTAATTTTGTACTCTGAATATTTTCTGTATGACAACTCAGTACAGATTATAAATACTTAACCGACATTGTTTAATCTAATTATGGTTCAGAGTTTACTTAAAGTGCTAGTTGTTCTATGTATTTATTTTCAGCAACTTGCTCAGTGATCTAATTAACTCTTTTTTTTTTTTGCCTCTTGGATTTTCTAGCTGTATAATCATATCTACAGAGTTGTGATCATTTTGGCTCTTCAGATCTGTCTAGTGCTTTTTAAAACATTTTTTATTTTATTTTGTAAGTAGATCCTATAAATCCTAAATAAAAATGGATAAAACTGGCATCTATATTTTATTCCGGATTTTAACAGAAATTCTGTTAGTGTTTCAGCATTTGATATGATTAGTATTTGATTCTGATACTCTTACTGTGTTTAGAGTGATTGATTGATTGATTGATCGATTGAGGGATAACTGCTGACTACTTTGAAAAACTTTTTGGTGTAGAAACAGTCCTGCATTTTCACGTGTTAACGTAACTACTGGTGTCGGTAGATTTCCTAACATACCATGCTTGTGTTCCTGGAATAAGTTGATTTTATCATGGTGGCTTATTATTGTTGTGCTCGGCTAGATTTGCTAATATTTAGTTTAGGACATTTATGTCTATATTCGTAAGTGTGGCTAGTATTTTTCTCCGTGTGTGCCGTCCATATCAGATTTTGGCATTAGAACTATGTCAGCACTGTATAAAGTGAATTAGAAGACTTTCCATACATGTTCAAGGGCAGTGTGAATAACAGAAATATCTGTTTC